GGGGAGAGGCAGCGCTGAGCAGGGCGCCAGCCTGGGGAGTCGGAGCCCTCCTCAGCCCTTCCGACGGCGGCAGCTGGCGCTGCTCGGTCTCCTGCTCAGCGCGCAGGGTCCGCCAAAGGCGCCGGGGGCAGCGCCTCCGCTCGCCCGGTCACCTCGGCCGCCTGTTGCTGCACCCGGCAGAGGCGCCTCCGCCTGCTCGCAGCTTAGAGCGAACGCGCGGGGGGCGCAGCGGGAGCGTCCCTCCCCGCGGACGCCGGAGGCGGTGGGTCCCGTGGCTGGCTGCGGGGTTTGGGGCTTGTGCTGGTGTCTGTGGGGCTGGGCAGAGGCGAGGCAGGCGGCGGGGAAGCGGAGCTTTCCGGGGACCCGCGGCGGAGGTGCCGCCCGCTCAGAGGTGCTGCGGGGCCGGGGCAGGATGTGAGGAGCTGCCAGTCCCGAGCCAGTCCCCAGCCCAGCGCCCTGCGCGGCTCAGCATGAGCGAGATGAAGGCGAAGGACTCGAGGGCGCCTTCCTCTGCCAGGGACGGCTCGGTCCGGCTGCAGGGCCGCCCAGAGCGGGATCCCTTCCGCGGGGGGGCGGAGGCCGTGGACATCTCCCTGCATGGGCTGCTCTACCCCAAAAGCAGCGAGGAGGAAGAGGAGGAGGAGGAGGAAGAGCAGCAGAGGCGCCCAGAGGGGAAGGAGAGGGGCCCCTCCTCGCAGCGGGAAGGCAGCAGCTCCCCGCCGGATAGGGACGCGCTGGACAGCGTCCTAGACACTTTCTTGGCTCCCCCGGCCCACGCCAGCTCGGCCAGCGCCCCCGCGGCTTGGTGCCTCTTCGGGGCCGAGATCCCCGAGCTCCCCGGCGCACTGATGAGCCGCTGCTCCGAGCACCAGCGGGGAGAGACAGCCGCCGCCCACCAAGATAGCCCGGCTGCAAACTCGGGCTCCGTGCCACCTCCGGCCCCGGCCGCCTCCCTTTGGCCGGGCGGGGACCCCCCGGCTGCCGCCGCGATGCTGCCGCCCCAGCGGGAGGGCGAGGGAAGCGCGGAGAGCGCGGGTGGGCCGCGCAGTGCCCCCGCGGCACTCTCCGAGGACGATCACGGCTTTGCCTCCGGGGGACCAGCTGAGCAGGACGCCGGCTCCGGGAGCAGCCTTGCTCTTGCCCCTGCCTATGCCGCTGCCCCTGGGCGCTCTGCGGCGGCAGCAGGGTCCGGGCAGGATTTCCTCCATGTGCCCATCCTGCCCCTTAACTCGGCCTATCTGGCAGCCAGGACCCGGCAGCTGCTCGATGTGGAGGAATATGAGAGCAGCCTCTTTGGCCGTCGTGCGTCTCCCACCTCCACCCCCCATGACTTTGCGGACTATGTCTATCCCCAGCCCGACTCAAAGGAGGAGCATTATAGCTACGGGGACTTCCATCCTGCTCTAAAGATCAAGGAGGAAGGAATTAGTGCCAGCACCCCCTACTTGGGCACCAAGACCACTCCAGCAGTAACGTGCACAGACTACACGCTGGCCCCTCCGCAGCCGAGAGCCAGCCAGGAGTCCTCCTCTCTCGAGTGTATCCTGTACAAAACTGAGCCTTCAGTTCTGCCTGGGCCCTATGGGCCGCCGCACTATAAAGCATCAGGGAGCTCAAGCTGTATGGTTCAGCGGGACAGTCTGCCCTCCACATCGACAGCCCCTCAAGCCTTTTACCAGCCTCTCAACCTGAACGGTCACCAGCAACTTGGCTTTCAGACAGCCGTGCTCAAAGAGAGTTTACCCCAGTTATATCCGCCCTATATCAATTACATTAGGTAAGATTTAAGGTTACATGAATCTACAGCAAACGGCACTAAACCTTCTTTTAAAACATTACTTTTAAAGGCACACACATTTCAAAATATTTATGTCTGCATTTTATAAGCAAATTTGTGGTTTTGATCTTAATTTAAAAGGGGTGATTTATTGTGTTATCTTTTAAACAGACATGGCAAACAGTTATTGACAGTTTTTTAAATAAGATGTTACTGAGCTAGGTATTCAGCTAATCTGTGTGCCATAACTCTTTTTTGTGTTAAGGAGGTTAAATCACAGAAGTTGTGCTGAAAGCAGACTTACAGACAAAAAATACAGACTTCATCTAAGTTTTTAAGTAAAATGAATTTTGTATTAAAGGAACATTGTACTGATTAGAATACGTTTTACAATAAAAAGGGGAAGTTCTAAAAATGTGTGAGACATTGAAACACGACAAAAGGGAATCAAAGGGACTGAGCTTCACTTGATCAAAACTCTGATGGAGCTTTTAAAATAAATACATGTAGAAATAAGACAAATATATTTACATTTCTTACATTGTTTGTGTCATATCTGGAATTTTAGTTCTTGTCAGAAGAACTCCACTTTATCAAATCGTACTCTTGTGACAGTGAAATTTTAAATGCTTTTGTCACACGTTTGATCTCTGGATCCAACAGAGACTATATTTTGTAATCAATACAACGTTGTTTATTACTGTATAATGGACTAACAGGTCATCACTTCTGAATAGTCTTAAATGGTGAAGATTTCATGATTTATATGCAGGTAACTTCTGTGTACACATGGTATATTTTACAAGTAGATATTATGTTTACATTTACATATTTCTTTAAAATGCACATGCATGATTTTAGTGGAAAACCACCCAATTTCAAAGCAAAAATTAACATGACAATATGTCCAAAATTCTGATCTAGCTAATATTGTAATACGTCGTTAAATAAAATGGCTCAATATGATTCTTATATACAGAAATACTACAACATTGTTAGAATATTTACTAATACATTAAAGACACTTCTAGTTTTTTAGTAAATAGCCATTTGCTAGCTAAATAAATCAGTTTCTTTAGGTGGACATTATATCTGGAAATAATTCTTCACTATCTTTTTTGTGTTAATTAAAACTGGTTACAAGTAAGAACTCTGCCAATGAATTAGGAGATATTAATTTTATATTTATGAATTTTCTGCGTAACCTGAAGGCCAGTTACCAGTTGCCTAGGGAAAGGGCTGCTGAAGTTAAATTAGTTTCAGTTCAAAGCAGTTTATTATTATTTTAGATTCAGCAACTAGAGAAATTTGCACAGGAGTAATTTTATTCACATGAGCAGTCCCACAGAAGGATCAGGCATCTATTTTGAAGACCCTAGCAAAGAACCTAGCTTTCCAGTCTACTAGCTAAAACGTGTTAAAATACAACTTGCCCTCTACGCCAGGGTTTTTAAATTACTTAAAACATTCTAGCTAATGCATTTTACAGATATGCCTTTTATCCAAGTCGGAAAGCAAGTCGGAAAGCAAAAACACATTCAGTGCTGGAGTTGCTTTAGACACTTTTCTTCTGTCCTTAACAAATTTGCTTTCAGTTTTAAAAGGCAAGCATTAGGACTGTAATTTCCTTTAAAACTATAACCCAGACTGACAGTGAATCTTCTTTACAAGTCTGTTTCATTCCTGTTAATTTTATTTCCTTTTAAAGGCCAGATACGGAAGTTGGTCAGAGTCCTCAATACAGTTTTGAATCATTACCTCAGAAGATTTGTCTGATCTGTGGTGATGAGGCTTCTGGTTGCCACTATGGAGTACTTACCTGTGGAAGCTGTAAAGTCTTCTTTAAGAGAGCAATGGAAGGTACGTCAGATGCTTTTGTTTCTAAATTTCTGTAATAAAACTTCCTGCAGTACATTAAGCACTTTATTTTTATCCAGTTTTAAAACCAATCTTTGTAAATATTGCAGTCATGTTTTGTCCCTGAGAAAAAGTTTCAGATACTTGCAGTAGGTGGTAAATTCCTTCTTAGTTATTTAATATTAATACTATTTGCTTTACTTATATTTATTAGCTGGCTTGTTTTATTTTGGGTTGTTGATTTGGTAAGCTTATAAAATCTTGCAGTTCTTAATCTGTTACAAACTTAATAAAATGTTAATAAATACCAGTCTCACTTTAAAAATATTTAAATGTTGCTGCTTGGCAACAAACAGCCTTGGTATGAAACTATGTTCTTTATGCAAATAAAAACTACCATTGGCTTCATTCTCTCATTAAAGTCAGTGGTAGTTTTTCTTGCTTATGGAATACAGAACTGGGCCTTTGAGTTTTAAATAATAATAATTTTAAAATAGTTGTTTTGCTTTCTATTCAGGACATGAAAATCAAGTCTAAGGTGTTAATAAAACAGTAGTTTTATATTACCTCTGAAAATAGGTTGGTACCTAGTTGAGAATGTATGTTTGGTTTGTCTTTTTAAATCAAATGATATATGTGATCCTGCATTCCTTATGTACCCAAAATGCACACACACACACCTGTTGAAATAATTATTGTGTACAAAATGCAAAATTAGACTCCATATTTTTTCTGACACTACCAAATACTAAATAAAAGAGTATACTGTATACTCTTCAACGGTTTTACCTTTTACCTTTTATGTGTTTATCCTCTCATCATGTCAAACTAGTATACTAGAGTACCGCATATACACAAAACCCTTGCTTACGTATATTTCTCTAATTTGTATTTGTTTTCTTAAAATCAAAGTTGTATAATATGTTTCTCTGACATTTCATATAGTTTATTCAGCTTTATATAATTTAATCTACAAATGAAAGAACATCTGAATGTGGGGGTGAAAAAATTAACATAGTTTGTGAGATATAACACTAATTTTTGTTCTGTAATTTGTTGCTTAGTCTATGTGTGTATTATTCTTTAAGTGTCATATCTTTAAAAAGTCAGTCATAACATAAAGATAGTTGTAGCTTACTAGGTTAGGCTCCAATTCAGGAAAGCACTTAAAGATGTGTCTATATTTAGGCATGTACTTCACTGACTTGATTAACTCATATTCTTGATTAGGTTACATAAACGAATTAAGTTTACTTCAGTTTTAGCAATACTCTAAATACATCAAATACTTATAACAGCTCAAGCAAGTGAAATTTTTAACAAGGAATCTAATTTAAAAAGGCCACATTTTAAAGAAAATTTTTTTTACTTCATCCCTATAGAGTAATGTTGTCTTTGACTAATATTTTGTGGTTGGTTGGTTTCTTTACGACCTGTTAAAATCAGCTGGGTACAAACCTGCTTTCCAGTTGTATATGCCCAAATAGGCAAATCTGCTCAGAAATGTATTTTATTACCATTTTAATATAAAAGCATTGCTGATAAATGTTATGAACACTTTACAAATAAAATATTAATGAGACTATGTTGGCAAAGTCTTCACAGAGTCATAGATTTTAAAGCCAGAAGGGACCACTGTGATTAGTCAGCTCTCCCGAATAATACAGGCTATATAGGACTTCCTGCTTCAATCCAAAAGCTGTGGTCAACTAGACCATATTTTTTAGAAAAACATCCAATCTTGATTTAAAACTTTCCAGTAATGGTGAATCTATCACTACCCTTGGTAAATTGTGCCAATGATTAATATCTCTCACTGTAAAAAGAAAAAAAGGCACCTTATTTCTAATCTGAATTTGTCAAGCTTCAGCGTCCAGCCATTAGGTCTTATAGCTTTGTCATCTAGATTGAAGAGACCTCAGATTTGTGTTCCCTGCGTTGGTACTTACCGACTGTGATCAAGTCACAATCTCTTCTCTTGGACAAGCTAAATAGGTTAAGCTCCTCGAGTCTTTCATGTTTTCCAGTCCTGTAGTCATTCTTGTGACTCTTTTATGAAACCCTCTCCAATTTATCAACATTCTTCTTAAAGTGTAGACACCAGAACAGACCCAGTATTCCAGTAGTGATTGTACCAGTGTCAAATGCAGAGGTAATATAACTTCTGTACACCTACTTGATATTCCCCTTTTTATACATCCAAGAATGACATTAGCCCTTTTGTTCACAGTGTTGCACATGGAGTTCACGTTTAGCTGATTATCCACCATGATTTACAAGTATTTTTCAGAATAATTGCTTTCCATGATCGTGATCCCCCCATCCTGGAAGTATAGCCAACATTCTTTGTTCATAAATGTATGACTTTACATTTGATTGTATTTAACATATATAGTTTGCTTGTGCTTAGTTTACTAAATTGTTCTGAATCAGTGATGTATCCTCTTCATTATTTACACTCCTCCATTCTTTGTGTCATTTGCAAACTTTGTTTACTTTCGGATCATTGTTAAAAATGTTAACTAGCGTAGGGCCAAGAACTGACCCCTGTGGGACCCCACTAGAACCACACCTATTCAATGATTATTTGCTGTTTACAATACAATTTGAGACCTTCCAGAGATCCAGTTTTTAAATAATTTAACTTGTGCCATGTAGATTTTGTATTGTTCTAGTTTTTTAATCAAAATGTTGTGCCGTACCTAATCAACACTATTACCTTTATCAATCAAATTTGTAATCTTGTCAAAAAAGTATCAGGTTAGTTTGGCAAGATCTATTTTCCATAAACGCACATTGAATGGCAAGTTAATTATATAACTTTCCTTTAATTCTTTATAAATCAAGTTCCATATCAGCAACTCTGTTATTGATTGATTAGGATTGATGTCAGGCTGATGGGACTATAATAATCTGGGTCATCCTATTTACCCTTTTAAAATATTGGCATGATATTAGCTTTCTTTCAGTCCTCTGGAACTTCTCCAGTGTTCCAAGACTTACTGAAAATCAATATTAATGATTCAGCAAGCACCTTGGCCAGCTCTTTTAATATTCTTGGAGGAAAGTTTTAAATCTACTGATTTAAAAATATCTAGCTTTAGGAGCTACAGTTTAACATCTTTATTAGTGACTGTTGACATGGAAAGTATTTCACCATCATATGATATGAATACTTCATTTGGCTTTATTCCAGCTTCAGAACACTTCTGCAATTTCTACATTATCATTGACAATGGAACAGTATCATTGCTGGCATTGTTGTTGTGCCTAATATACTTTAAAATTCCTTCTTATTGTTCTTAACCTTGCCAACCATAGAGTTCTACTTTTGTCCTTTTGCCTTCCTTATCAATTTCCTACAATTCCTAGCTTCTGGTTTGTATTCATTACTATGAACTTCTGCTTTTTTCCATTTGTTATACATACTTTTTAAAACTTGTCATAGCTACTTTAATTTCTCCTCTAAGCCAAGTTGTTGTTGTTTTGTTTAACTAGTGTACTCCTTTGCTGATTGTGAACTTTTGAACATTTAGTAAAATATTTGTAAACAGTTATCAGTTTATCTTTTGTATCCTGTTTTGGACTTTATTTTGCTTACACATAACGAATGTAGTCATGTCATGATCACTTGTACCTAAACAACCATTAATTTTAGTTTTGTGATCAGTTCCTGTCTGTTTGTCAGCATCATGTTTAATACAGTGTTCGCTCACATAGGATGTAAACATAAGGTGATTGATATCACTGTTTTCCTACGCACAGTCTTTCCAGATTAAGAGTATTCAATAAATGTGAAAATAATGAATGTGAAAAATAGGTGTCTGTACACACTCTTATGTGGACAACACAATGTATGCTTTATATAGCATCTTCGTCCTTGCTGGTACAAAATGTTTTCATCATAACATGAGAGATTATTGTTTTAATTATGAGATTTCAGGAGTGGAAAAGTGACTCAGAAAGTTGGGACATGACAAGTGAAATAGCAGTCTCTTGACTACTGAAAGTTAATGGGGAAGACAGAAAGGAGTCGAAGGCTGGATGTGTAAAGTGAACAGGATGGACAAGTAGCTGGTTACATAGTCCGACACAGAGGTTGCAAGTTTGTGGTGATTTTTTAATATCAGTAGTTCAGTCATTAATTTGATTGAGAGCTGGATAGATAGTCATTACAGTTGCTGAAGAATGGAGTAATATGTTCCCTTATATTGGCAAAAGGATAGCCCCCTGATTTCTATGTAGCTTAGATGTCTAAGCTAACTTCAGCTGTCTATCTCACTAACTTCAGCTGTCACAAACTAGTGTAGTAAAATAGTTTGTCAGTAAGAACGAACACTCTAAACATTTTACTGAAAATACAGTACAAAATAACGTTTTGCAAGTTCACAAATGGTAAGTATGTAAGTTGAAAACCAGATATGTTTTTGATGTAAAAATATGCTACTATCCCCATCATTTCCTCATAGGGCATGTAGCATTACCTTTATGAATTTTTAGGTACTGTAGTACTATTTTAGACACAGTTATTTTATTTTTAAAATAACAGTTAATGAAAATAAAAGACAGAACTTCGTGAATGCAAGTTCACAGTTACAACTCTGCTTTTCAAGCACTTTTCATAAAAATATTGATTGTTATGATAAATTAATGCATTATTAGGTATAGGTGGCTGTTGTTATTTCACAGCTTTACTTTGTTGATATAACCTGATTCGTACACAATGATTGATATTACTGTTTTCCTCCACATAATGTGTGTACATGGCAACAGTGTAATGGAATATGGACAGAAGGAAGCCACTTAGCAAATATGGGATTGACTGTCTTCTGTTTTTTATTTTTTGAGGGGTGGGAGGTTAAGTAATTTCTGTTCTAAAAGTTTCTGAGTTGAAATATGTTGATTGCTTCATCTTTAATTATCTGTGATGGTCTTTTTCACACACAAATCATTTCCTGCATACAGAATTTTCCTCTGAATCCAGTTAATAAATTGAAATTCCT